ATGAAGTTCATACCCTCATGATTTTTTTTCTCATTTTCTTTATTATCTACAATTGATTGTTGTTTTTTTCAACAGTATTAGATAATAACAATGGTATAGCTCTACACTGTTCACTATAATAGCCATTAGCTACATGTGCTAGTTAAATTAGTTATTTAAATTAAGTAAAATTCAAAATTTAGTTCCTCATTCATGTGTGCATGCTAAGTTGCTTCAGTCATGTCCAACTCTTTGTAACCCTATGGGCCATAGCCTGCCAGACTCCTCTGTCCATGGGATTTTTTTTTGGCAGGTGGGTTCTTAAACACACTAATGCCACCTGTGAAGCCCTCAGTAGCTGCATTTCAGATGTTCAAGAGCAGTGTGTTACTAATGGCTACCATATTATGGTGTAGATTAAAGAACATGGCATTAATTCTGTCATCTCAGAAAGTTCTGTTAGACTGCTGGTATAATCAGGAAGCAATTTAGAGTCAACTTTTGAGGGCAGTTTATGATCACCTCATATATACTCATCAACCACATTTATAGACTTATTTACTTAATATCAGTTCTTATATTAGAATTCCTCCTACCTGTGGATATCTGTTGTCAGATTTAGAAAACATCCTCACATTCTTATTTTTACCCAGTCGCATTCATTGCTTGGTAGCACAAAGTACCAGAGGTTATTGTTCTTAGATCTTGTTTTATTGGCTGCTATCTCCAGATTGAGTACTGTTTCAATACCATTCCCTACTGTGTCAGGACCATAAGTGTGATTACTGTCTAGGCTGGAGGTATCTGAACAAGGCAGGCAGTGGTGTACAGTTATCCCTTGATATCCAAGGGGAATTGGTTCCAGGGCCCTCCATGGGTACTAAAATCCATGGATGCTCATGTCCCTTACATAAAATGGCATAGTATTTGAATGTAACCTACACACATCCTCCAGTATATTTTAAATAATCTCTGGATTACTTATAATACCTAATACAATATAAATGCTATTTAAATAGTTGTCTGCAGATGGCAAAAACAAGTTTGCTTTTTAGAGTTTTCTGGAATTTTTTTTTTTTTTTCATCTGCGATTGGTTGGATTCACAGATATGAAACCCATGAATATGGAGGGCCAACTATACTGGAAGATAATAGAGAACCTAGCAGTAAGACTATGTACAGTTAAAATACAGAATGAATGACAGAGACAGAGCATCTAGGAAGTAAGAATATTTGTATATTTGCATCACTTTTCTAATCCTAGTCCCAATTACCATTTCAAATTCTACTGTACTAAAATCCATGTATGTCAGAGTAGATAGCCAGAAGTGCTATAATATCTTCCAGCCCTTCACTGTGGAATCGTCCTAAACTTAAACTGAATGGAAAACAAAAACCCAAGACTTAAGGGCCAAGTGGCTTTTCCCAGTGGACCAGAGAACCAAAATTGTTGCATGCCATATGCCTAATATGGCTCTAATATAGCTCTAATAAAATGGAGTCCACAAAAGGGGTAATTTGTGCTTCCTGATAAAATGGGATTCATCTTTACCAATTTCTTTTTTAAGTCTCCTTGAGGTTCCAGTATAGTCCAGCTTAGGAACTGTTGATCATAAGATCATGGAATGATTTTCATAAATACAGCTTTTTAAAATAATGTGCTTTTTCTGTTGTAGTCTGATATGCATGGTACTTTGACATTTGTTCTGATTCCCAGTCAACAGATCAAGCCTCCTCCTGCCAAAGAAACAGTAGTAAGTGATTTTTTTTAATGCTCCTTATTTTATGATGGCTACTGTTTATATTTTTCTTAATTAATAAACTTTATTTTTTGAGAGTAGTTTTAGGTTCACAGCAAAATTGAGCAGAAAGTATAGAGTTCCCACATAATTCCCACAGCCTCCCTTGCTGTCAGCATCCCACATCAGAATGGTGTATCTGTTACATTAGAGAGTTGATGGTTTCATTATTACCCAATGTTCATAGTTTTCTTTAGGATTCACTTTTGGTGTTGTACTACATTCTATGAGTTTTGACAAATGTATAATTACATATATCTGCCATCATAACCTACAGAATCATTTCGTTGGCCTAAAAATCCTCTATGTTCTGCTTATTCATCACTTCCTCCCTGCTTGACTCATGACAACCACACTGTCTTGACTGTCCAGTTGTAACTGTTGCTTCTTGACCTGCATGTGGTCTCTCAGGAGGCAGGTAAAGTGGTCTGGTACTCCCATCTCTAAGAATTTTCCAGCTTTTTGTGATCCACACAATCAAAGGCTTTAGCATAGTCAGTGAAGCAGAAGTAATTGTTCTTCTGGAATTCTCTTGCTTTTTCTATGATTCAGTGGATGTTGGCAATTTGATTTCTGGTTCCTCAGCCTTTTCTAAATCCAGCTTGAACATCTGAAAGTTCATGGTTCACATACTGTTGAAGCCTAGCTTGGAGAATATTGAGCATTACTTTGCCAGTGTGTGAGATGAGTGCAATTGTGCGGTAGTTTGAACATTCTTTGGAATTGCCTTTCTTTGTGGGATCTTAGCTTGCTGACCAGGGATTGAACCTGCACCTACTGTATTGGAAGGCAAAGTCTTGATCACCAGGAAAATCCCCTCTTCTCCCTGTAGGAGACTTAAGAACTCTCTAAAGACTGGGAGCATGACTGAAGTCTTGATTTTGGGGGTCTGGGCTGGGAGAATAGAGATGTAGTTTTAGGAGAATTTAAAGACTTAACAGAATACTAAAATAATAGTTCAGGGAAACAAAGCATAGAATTAGCCATTAGCCCAGTGGTATTAATAATTGAAATATTAAGGGTCCCAAATAGTTTTTTTCCTTACAATGAATATCTGCTTGATCCCATTTGTGTACTAGGCACTGTGCAAATAAATGTTCACTCACTTTATAGTAATGAATGTGTTATAGTTTGGGGTAAATGTTGAGATGGAAATCAGTAAATATAAACACTGAGAATAAAAAAAGAGGTGTGGGATTGATTATATAAGGTTGGCAGGAAAGGCCTCCAGGAAAAGGTGACATGAAGCTGAGACCTGGTAGGATGAGATGAAGCCAAGCCTGTTAACTGCCAGAAGAACTTTCAGGTGTAATTTCCAAAGAACTTTGTGTTTGGAAAACCCATGGGAGTGGAACCAAGTGAGGGAGTAGAAAGGTGGGGAGAGCATTCTAAGATGAGGCTTGAGAGGTAGGTAGGGCCAGGTCAAGTAGGTCTTGGCCATGGCAGGAAGTTTGGATTTCAAATACAGTGACATCTGATTTGTGTTTAAAAATAAAAACAACTCTGGTTGCTGGGTAGAAATTAGATTAGTAGAGCCAATAATGGAAGCAAGGAGATTTAGGAAAGTGTTGCTGAAGCCAGTATAAAGTATGATGATGGCTTAGATTTCTATGATAGCAGTGACAGTGGAGAAAATTATGCAGGCTATGTTCTGGAAGTAGCAATGACAGGACCTTTTAATGAGTGTGGAGAGTAATGGATAGGGAAGAAGCAAATATGCTTCAACAACTGGATGAATAGTGGTGCTGCTTACTGAAGTGCAATGTGGAGGAAAAACTGGTTTGGGGAGAAAAATCAAGAGGGAGATGCCTGAGAGGCATTCGGGTGTAGATACCAAATCGATAGAATTAAATACGTTGTTGAGTTGTTAAGTCATGTCTGATTCTTTTGCAACCCCTTAGACTGTAGCCTGCCAGGCTCTTCTGTCCATGGGATTTCTCAGGCAAGAATACTAGAGTGGGTTGCCACTTCCTTATCCAGGGGATCATCCTGACCCAGGGATTGAACTGGTATCCCCTGCGTTAGCAGACGGATTCTTTGCTACTGAGTCATCATTCTGGAATTCTACAGAGAGATCCAGGCTGTACTTACATTTATTGTGGGGAGATCAGGTCAAGGGAGCAGTCTGTTTATATATACTTCATGTGTTTGCAAAATATTCTAAAGATTTTTAAAAACGATAGGTTAAGGATTGTTCACAGCCTATGAAGATAATTGGGTTGAAAGAAAAGATTGAGAACCACTACCATCCAATATACTTTTCTCTTAGAAGTATAGAATGTATTATATAATTTTCACCTTAATTTTTTTCTCATTTGGAAGAAGATCTTAAGTTTTATAATGCAGTAAAATGTTTATAAATATATATTTTATCAGAAGGTGAAAAATATTAATATTAATTTCAGTGGACAGTATGGACAGTGAACAGATGGACATCTCTCTTCAGGATCAAACAGTTGCTTTATTTGCTGTTGCCCTCAGGTTCACTTTTTTGTCTGCCTACTACTAAACATCAATTGGATACCCACTGATACCCCAAATTTCTCCTGTTAAATATGGAAAAGAACAAGTAAAGATCTTACTTTTGGGGCTTCCCTGGTGGTCTGTCCAGTGGTTAGGAATCCACCTTGCAATGCAGGGATCACCGGTTTGGTCTCTGGTCAGGGAAGATCCCACAGCTGCAGGGCAGCTGAGTCCACAAGCCCTAGAGCTCGTCCTCCAGAATAAGAGAAGCCGCCACAATGAGACGCCCTGAGCTGCAGTAACCCCCGTTTGCTGCAACTCGAGAAGGCCCAGTGTAGCCATAAATAATAAAGAAAATTATTTTAAAAACTATTCCTTCTTGAATGGGCGTCAGAGAGGAGAAATCTTAGAATGAAGAGGAGGAATTTAAAAACTGTTGCTTGACATTGCAAAGGCTTTTCTTGATGCTGCCTTAGTATTCATTTATTTTTTACTTTGTTGGGTCTTTGTTGCTGCATTGGCTTTTCTCTAGTTGCGCTGTACAGGCTTCTCTTGTTGTGGAGCACGGGCTTTAGGACAAGTAGGCTTCAGTAGTTGGGGGCTCTCGAGCTCTAGAGCACAGGCTCAGTAGTTGTGGTGCTTGGGCTTAGTTGCTCCAAGGTATGTGGGGTCTTCCCAGACCAGGGATCAAACCTGCATTGGCAGGTGGATTCTTAACCACTGAGGCCACCAGCGAGGCAAAGAGAAAAATGTTGGGTTGGAAGATAATTGTGTCTAAACAACCCTGTAATTTAAAATTTAAACACATGATTTTGTTTGAATTAGAAACCAAACATTGTTTTGGTCAGATATACTGTACTGATGCTACTGCATGGTGAAGCCCTGGGGCTTTCCTGTAGGGGTCAGAGTCTCTCCTTCATTTAAAAAGGACTCTGTTTTCCTTTGTATGGGAAAGGAAAAAAAGTAGCCACTACCCTGAACTGAAGAGGTAAGACTGCTGGATGTAACTTCTGGAACTGTAAGAACTGCAGTGGAATGCCTGTAGGCATACTTAAGGGATATTGCAGGTTCCAGATCACTGAAATAAAATGAGTCATACAAAGTTTTTGTTTTCCCATCGCATGTAAAAGTTATAATTACATTGTTCTGTAGTTTGCGAAGAGTACAATTGCATTGTGTCTAAACAAACAACAAATATACACTTATTTAAAAATACTTTATTGCTTAAAAATGCTAACCTTCATCTGACAACACAAGGTTGCCACAGACCTTCAATTTACACACACACACACACACACACACACACATATATATATCTGCAAAATGAAATAAAGTGAAACACAATAAAACAATACATGCCTATATATAGATAGAAGTCACAAAAAAGTCACATAGTATGTGTTAAGGCAATACTCAGACTTTAACTCAGTCAGTTGGTTAATTTCTCTGGTGTGAAATAAACTTTGCTCTCAGTTTTAGAGTACATTTTAAACAGCACTAAATAAACTTGTCACATAAACAAAGTATGTCCTCTCTTTTCCTCTTCCAGTCAACACAACGAGGGGCCCATTCCAAACCAACTAAATCTGAATGGTCAAGCGGTGATACCTAAGCAACAATAGGGAGAAAAACATCTCTGGGTGATTTTGTCTGCCTCTGGCAAAGGTCATAGACTTAGATACAGCATCTTCACTGGTCTATTTAGTTTCCCTCAGGATAATAATTCCCTAAGATTTTAGGGTACATCTTAAATGGCATGTATGTAGCAATTATCCAAGGAACTTAATTAAAATACAGAATCTGAAAGTTTGAGATGTGGTATAAGAAGTCAGTATTTTAATAAACATCCCAGTAAGTGTTCTGAGCAAAACACTTTGAAAACAGCATGCCGGGTATTGATTTCAGAAAGTGATTTGATAAAGTCATCCATCAGGTTGACAAGAAGTCTGATTTCATAGATCTCTGAAAAGCCTGATAATAAAATGAACTCCCCACCACAATAAATGATGCCTATAGTTTCATATGTAGATTTCCAGGATTGTTAAGCTAAAAGGCAACAATTTAAATAGATGTGGAAGCATTATTGATTAATAGGAATAGTACAAGCAGAGATTTTTTTTTATCATCCTATATATTATATGCTTCTCATGCCAAGGTTATAAAATTCTATGTATAATCTTTTTACCTAGTCTCTCAGCTGTGTTTTAACTTACTACTATCGTGTATAACTCTAAAATTCAATTTTATCAGATTTCATATAATCTGCAGATTTTGGAAATGCCACATGCCACTTGACCAGGTTGGATAAAAATTACAGATAGGAATTAAGGAGAATATTGATTCCTTTATACCTTTTAAGAAGTAAGGATACTTTGTTATAACTTACAGAAGTGTATTGGAGAAAATACTGTAGGAAATAATTGGGCTTTTAATAAGGTTCATGTGAATTCTTACCTATTTCTAGTGCTGAGAGCATAGCAGGTTTTAGATACACAAAGCACAGTTAGCAAAAATTTTAGCTTGTGGCACTAACAATATTTCAGTGCCTACATACAGAACATGGTAGGAATTGGTTATAAACTTGATTTAGGTAATTTTAGCAGTTTGGGGTTGATTATATATGAACCTAGACATAGTCCTTTAGAATAGACTCGGAGTGATCAAGGCACAGTGGCATTGACAGTGTGGTTAAGAAGAGATGATGGCACCAGGGAACCTGACACTTACCTGCTTAGATGACCGATGTGGAGAGGTTTACAGTTTACCTTTCCTGGTAATAGTGGTTTAGAAATTACATACCTTACTGCAGAGTCATTGTTTTCACAAGTCAGGAATGGAGAGGGAGGGACTCTTTTATATTCCTTCTGCTTCTGTCAAACTTTTAAGGCCTGTTGGCATTTCAGCTTGTTAGCAATAACAGTGCAGTGTTTAGCATACTCTTGTACATGTTTGCAATCAACAGGACTGTCTTAATTGAAAAAAAACAGATGAGTCTGAAAAAAATTCTGCCCTCAAATACAATTACTAACCTAACCTTGATTTTTTTCAACTTGTAATATCTTTGTGCTGATGAAAAATTTATAACACTCACATTTATGCTAAACATTGTGTTGCCATTTCATTATTGTCCTTACTTTTACCCTTTTTATTGTTTAGATCCACGTAAAGGCTCATTTTGACTACGACCCCTCAGATGACCCTTATGTTCCATGTCGAGAGTTAGGTCTGTCTTTCCAAAAAGGGGATATACTNATTACTAACCTAACCTTGATTTTTTTCAACTTGTAATATCTTTGTGCTGATGAAAAATTTATAACACTCACATTTATGCTAAACATTGTGTTGCCATTTCATTATTGTCCTTACTTTTACCCTTTTTATTGTTTAGATCCACGTAAAGGCTCATTTTGACTACGACCCCTCAGATGACCCTTATGTTCCATGTCGAGAGTTAGGTCTGTCTTTCCAAAAAGGGGATATACTTCATGTAATCAGCCAAGAAGATCCAAATTGGTGGCAGGCCTACAGGGAAGGAGATGAAGATAATCAGCCTCTAGCTGGGCTCGTTCCAGGTAAAAGACAGTATGGTAGAAAGTACAAAGTTTAAAAACACATTTAAAATACAAATCTTCAAAGGGAAAAACTCACTTTTTTATGCCTTTTAAAAAATGATGTAGTTACTTTTTCATTCTGTTGGGTTTTTATGTTGTATCTGTAATATAAGTATCTTGGTGTAAGTCTGACCAGTTTGTTGGGCTTTAGAATGGGATTATCATATAATCTCATCAACCACTCCCATTTGTCCTACTGTTCACTGTAGGTGCATTGAAATTAACCCTGTTTTCAAGGCAACAAAACTTATACTATAGCAGGAGATTATCATCAACTGGGGCATCATACTTGATATCTAGATAGGAATTTGTTAAAGATGTGTGACTTTATTCGGAATCAAAAGAGTAAGACTGCTGAATTTATCTCTTCTAAGATATCTTAGGATAGAAATAAGATGCATCTATCTTTTCATTGAAGAAAACTCTAATTTAGACTATACTAAAATAAAATTAGCTCATATTGGACATTAAGATTATTATAGAAACATATTTCTCCTAAAGTGTGAAGATGATACTTAATGGAATTAGATATGTAGATGTAATTTTTCCTACAAACTGTTTCTACAGTTCTCAGGAGGGTATGGTAGAATGAGGGAAATAAAACCAAGGGAAGTATACGAAGATATTTAATGTGTAAATTATTAAAATTATTTTGTTATTTTTTCTAGATCTGTTATAGTCACATACTTTTAAAAAAATTTAGTGCTCTTAAAAATTTCCCTATGGCCGTAGTTACTTGTTTTATCTAGAAACACAATCAGTCTGTACAGTTGCTGAAGATAACCTGATTTTCCTTAATGCTTTTTATGTGTCTCAAACTCAATATTAACCTTTTTTGCTTGTGGTCTTCTAAAATGCACTAAGTTCAACAGACTATTCCAACATAGATGGAATTTACTTAGTGATTTTTTTAAGAATCTCTGGCCTGAATTGGAAAGAATTAGATATAAAAATTAAGTATAAAAGTAGAACTCTAATTCAGAATTTTCTAACGAAAACCACTTTTATCCTTCAGAAAAAATATACTTGATTCTAAGGTAAATCTCTGAAAATAAGATGAAAATAAGAAACCTTGAAAGCCTCCTATATTGAAATCATAACCCTAAGTGGAAAAACATAACGGGTTTTTCATTTATTTCTATCATGGGTAGCTTAAGGTAGAAATGAAAAATCTTTAAAACATATACATACATACAAAGAAAGAGAGGAATTGAACACAGTAAATGTAAGAGAATATATTGAATGGTGTCTTTGAATCAAAAACTGATGAATTTTATGTAATTTTGGAAAGATAACTCTTAATTTGTTTGATTTGCAATAATTCAAATGATCAGAACCATTGTAAGATCCAGCACAGTACTTTCCACATCAGTTCAGTTCAGTCGCTCAGTGTCCGACTCTTTGCGACCCCATGAATTGCAGCACGCCAGGCTTCCCTGTCCATCACCAACTCCCGGAGTTTACTTAAAGTCATGTCCATCGAGTCGGTGATGCCATCCAGCCATCTTGTCCTCTGTCGTCCCCTTCTCCTCCTGCCCCCAGTCCCTCCCAGCATCAGGGTCTTTTCCAATGAGTCAGCTCTTTGCATGAGGTGGCCAAAGTACTGGAGTTTCAGCTTCAGCATCAGTCCTTCCAATGAACACCCAGGACTGATCTCCTTTAGGATAGACTGGTTGGGTCTCCTTGCAGTCCAAGGGACTCTCAAGGGTCTTCTCATAGTAGATGCTAACTGGAAAGCTTTGTAAATACTGAACTATTAAAACTTCTAGCCTGTGTTTATTATTTATCTTTCTAAATACGTGATATGTAGTCTAGTAATACATGTCCTAGGATTGAGTGAGAGCCACGTTGGTACTTAACACCTTAAACATTTGGAGTTTATAATCATAGTTGACATACTCTCATGCAGTGGCAGGAGGATTCAGAAGGGAATATAAATGAACAGTTACTTCTGGTGTCGTCCCTTAGTTTAAAAAAAACACTCAGCTATCCTTTTGTCTTAACTATTTCACTCTTTTTCTTCTCTATTTATTAGGGAAAAGCTTTCAGCAGCAAAGGGAAGCCATGAAGCAAACCATAGAAGAAGATAAGGAACCAGAAAAATCCGGTTGGACTCTTATATTTGACATTAATGAGAGGTTTCTTGGGTTTCCATCTGGAATCAGGTTTAAATTTGCATATCAGAACTGTCAGGGAAGATGTATTCATGGCAAGATGGATGTGAGAAGCAAACCTGCTTATCTCAGGACTGTTAAGAAAAGACAGGATTTAAGTATTAAAGATTATCTTTCTATAATGTCAGATTAATGGAAAACTTTAACTACTTCCCTGAAAAATCATTATTCTATGAACAATGTAATACATGTCTATAAATTTAAATTTAAAACTATTTGAGTTCTTCAATTTGAAATATGTAGCTTTATTAAGGGAAACAAATACCACATTTATACTTATGTTTCTGTCAACAGGAAAACTATGGTGTGCAAAGAAGAATAAAAAGAAGAGGAAAAAGGTTTTATATAATGCCAATAAAAATGATGGTAAGTTCCACTCTCAGATATAGCCATATTTATATCCAAAAGAGGTCCATGTCTAACATTTGAAAGAAATTAAGTGGTATTTTTAGAGAATTTTAACTATGGTCCTGGCCTCTTAATGTAACGTGCGTGTATTTAATAAAGTCATTTAGCAGAAATTATTTTCTTCTAGAAACCTGTGAGTAGTGCAGAATTTTGAAATCTGAGAAAAAGTAGTATAAAAATTAACGGTATGATGTAGCTGTATAGTGTTGTATTGATAGTTTTCTCTTAAATTTTTTTCCTATGTAAACTCTTCATTTACAAAGTTAATACTTGTTCCTAACAAATACTAACAATATAGATGTATTTTAAGTAAAAAATGAACATTTTGCCTATCGTAACTCATCTCATCTAGGCAACCCATTTCATAAAGTCTGCTGGCTGAATCAGGCACACAGGAGAGTGTTTTAATTTATTGTTAGTGTTAAAAGTTTTTCAAGTTTTAGCTTCTCTTAAAATCAAAAGTTCTGATAACACTGGGCTTATATTCCCGTGTGTCAGCGGCCTACTGAACCTGAATGATGGCTGTTGCCTTTATAGTGGACACCTATCTAGTTCAACAGTCTCCACCATGTCCAATTTTTTATAAACTAACCTGATATATTGCTTTCATTACCTTCTTGATTGGTCTTTATGGGCTTTAAAATTTGCTACCCCTTCTTTAATTCACATTAGAAACAAGCCAAATAATAAAGCAAAGGAACTGTGTGACTTCCTACACAGTTTATAAGGCTTATTTTTATTCTCTAGTACCTTAAAAGTTTTTGGCAGCATAAATGAAACTAATGAAATGTTATAGATTATTGAAAATTTTGATATCAACTAAACCTGAGATTCTACCTACTATAATAAATTTTTTTTCCAAATTAAACATCCTTAATGCTAATTGATAGATTATGTAACTAAGAATATTTATTGGATTTATAATTTTCTCTATACTTGTGATTAATATCTCTGTTTCTTTATCCTTTGAAACACACTGGAGTTAACTGGTTCAGCTCTAAATGCTATTATACTATAGGAAATTTGCAAATCTTAAGTCTGTGAATCAATATATTTCCACAGTCTGATTTTACATGTTAGAAGAAGGAATTCAGAGGGAAAAGCATTTTGAGAAGGAAATGCTTCACATTTACATTTCTGCTTATAATTTGTTATTAAAATTAATATTTTTATTAATGATAATTATCATTTATAATAACTATTCCATTCAAGGGGAAATAGCCTTCATTCATTCACTTCTCAAAATAAATTCCTTGAGATTACAGATTAGTAAGTTCAAGTTCAGATATGAAAATCACCTGTTTAAGTTCTTACAGCTAATACATGGTTGAGTTGGAATCTAAACAAGTAAAGTTTGAGTTCCTACTGTGTGCTCTGTGTTAATCACAGACAAGCTTAAGATGGTCCCCTCTCCCTTGGAACTTAGCTGACAGTCTGACTACACATCTAACACTCTTACCTAGTCAGGTGAAGTAATGAGAGTGAGAAGATGACAGGTCACTAGTTGTCTGCCTTTGTTCTTACCACATGACAACTCTGATTTCATCTGGATTACAGCTTTAGGAATGTTAGTGTGCCAGTTATAATTTATACCTCTTCTTGAATCATGATCACAGGTTAGTATTAGTATTCCAGAATAAGGTAAACATAAATGTAGGAAGTTGGATAGCATAGGTATGCTATGTTTTCAAGTTATATAATCAGAGAAAAGTATTCCAGTGTTCTCTGTTAACCCTAGTCGCAGCACTGTTTGTAAATGTTTATCTGTGCCAGGTATTGTTTTCAGCATATACATTTTCTGCTCTTTAAACCAACCCTAAAATTAAAGTATTGGTATCCCCCATTTTATAAAAATGACAGATCTTATTCTCATTAGTTTATACCTTAGTGCCTCACTCTGTCAAAATATTGTCTGCAAACTAGCTATTTTATATGAACCAGTACAGTTATATTGTATTAAATATTCAAACACAGTGTGAAACAAGAGAAGCAGTAATCATTTCTAGAAGGAGTAATACACTATTTGATTTATTTTCATAATATCCTGCCAATGATATAATGACATGAGAAAATGCTTATGATATAATGCTACACAGTTATTACTTTCTTGATCTCAAAAGTTGTGTTTTTAACCATGATAACTTGTGCTGTTTTCCAATTTTTTGGAAGAACTATGAGTATATATAAATATACCTTTATATATTTATATAAATGTTTATATAAAATATATCTTTATTATACAGCAGTAATTCTGTCTGATGGGCTTAATTTTTCCTTTTTTAAAGATTATGACAATGAAGAAATCTTAACTTATGAGGAAATGTCACTT